ACAGTAACACACACTGCAATACTTCTTCTTCTTGTTCGTCCATCAAAGTTGATGATGACCATGGCACGTTTGTCATTTTGTTGGGTTTTGATGAGTGCGCAGATGGCTGAAGAGGCCAATCCGAGCCCGGAATTCCCTGTGGCACACTGGACAGGTCAGGGAGGATGTAGAGCTCTGAGGTGCAGCCACACGTCCTTCCTTGGTAGATTTGCGCTGCTGCCTCTTCAAGATAGCACAGGAGCGTCTCCTACTCTCACAGAGGACTGCAACGTCCTGTACTTTTCTTCTCCAGGCAGGTCGGTCCTGTGCTAGGGATTCCCAGCTTTTCAGGTCGAATCCAAAGCTCTTCAAGGAAGCTTTAAGGGTGTCCTTGTAGCGCTTTTTGGGGCCACCTTGTGCTCGCTTGCCATTCCTCAGCTCGCCAAAGAAGACTTGTTTTGGAAGTCTCGCGTAGGGCATTCTGGTCACGTGGCCAGTCCATCTAAGCTGTTCCTTCGCAAGCAAGGTGTAGATGCTGGGGATATTTGCCTTGCTGAGGACTTCCGTGTCAGGGATTCTGTCTTGCCACTTGATCCTCAGCAGTTTCCTCAGACAGCTCAAGTGGAAATGATTCAATTTCTTGGCATGGCGCTGGTAAACTGTCCAGGCTTCGCACCCATACAGAAGAGTTGGTAAGACAACAGCCCAGTAGACCTTCAGTATTGTCTCCTGCTTGATGCCAGTCCTTTCCCATACCGAGTCACTGTAGACGTCCAAAGGCTGCACTGGCCTTGACAATCCTGATGTTAACTTCATCATCTATGTGCACAGCGCGAGACAGTGTACTACCAAGGTAAGTAAACTTGTCAACGGCTGAAAGCTTTTGCCCATTCACATAGATGGTGGGCTCAGTGTAGGGTTTCCCAGGAGCAGGTTAGTACAGGACTTCAGTCTTCTTTGTGCTGATTGTTAGACCGAAGTTGTTGCAGGCTGAGGAGAGGTGCTCCATACTGTCCTGTAGATCTTGATTTGAGCCAGCAGCCAGAGCACAGTCATCAGCAAACAAAAGTTCTCGAACAGTGATTTCCTCCACTCTAGTTTTGGCTTGCATCCTCCGCAGATTGAATAGCCCACCGTCAAAATGGTAGATGAAGTTAATCCCAGTGTTGTGGTTCTGGAATGAGTCTTGCAGCATGGCAGAAAACACCATGCTGAAGAGCGTTGGTGCTAAAACGCAGCCTTGCTTCACCCCGTTTGTGATTGGGAACGGATCAGAGAGTTCTTGCTGGTCTCTGATGCTGGCCATCATGCCATCATGGATTTTGCGCACGATGCCAATGAACTTGTCTGGACACCCATACTTGGCCATGATTTTCCATAGGCCCTCCCAGCTGACTGTGTCGAATGCTTTTGTTAGATCAACGAAAGCCATATATAGATCAACATTTTGTTCTTGGCATTTCTCCTGTAACTGCCGGGCAGTAAATACCATGTCAGTGGTTCCGCGGTCTTTTCTGAAACCACACTGACTCTCAGGTAGCAGACCCTGGTCTAGGTGGACAATTAGGCGGTTCAGAAGGATTCTTGCCAAGATTTTGCCAGCGACTGATAGTATGGAGATGCCTCTATGGTTGTCGCAGTCCTGCCGATTGCCTTTCCTTTTATATAGATTGATTATAGTAGTATCCTTGAACTCCTTGGGAACGGCTTCTAATTTCCACAGAGACTGGAAGAGGTCGGTCAGTTTCTCGACTAAGCGAGGCCCTCCAGCCTTGTAGATTTCTGCTGGAATGGCATCGGACCCTGGAGCTCTGCCTGATGAGAGGAGTGTTATGGCTTTGCTGGTTTCCTCAATGGATGGTAGAACAGCCAGGGACTGGTTTATTTCAACTTGAGGCAGTCTCGCAATTGCTAAAGTACACACACTACAGTACACCCCACACGATAATACACCAAGCTATTTATAAACATACAGACAAGAACACGCGCACCAAGATAGACTAACACACAGACACTAATAATACACAGACAGGCACAAATAATACACAGACACTAATAATTCAGGATACAGTACGTGCACGCTGTGGGAAAGAAAAAAGTTAGCCAAAACCGCCAAGAAAAACGTTCAAAGACGTTAAACAATATATACTATCTTAAAACAGGATATTAACTCAGACTAACAAACACTGGAATATTTATAGCCAGCCTACCTTCACAAATGCACTCACTTTCAGACACAATCACGCAATCGCTCATTTAAAAGTATTTTTTTTAAACACACTTTAATGAAATGTACCCTACGAGTAATGGAAGAACTCCACGACTTCAGGAAGTGGCACCGAAGCTTGCCATAACGTAAGAAGCCGTGGCCAATTACAGCCAACGTCAGTTGATCGTGGACAATTAGACCCAAGCCGAAACATAACATATAAAAAGAATGTTTAAAAATATTTTCATTTTTAATGATAAAATATAGTATTGTCATCAGTATGACATACATATACCAAGTTTGCAGTCGATGCGACATTGGGAAGTGGGTTAAAATTGAGTTACAATATTTGAGGATACGACAGTTAATAAAAAGCGTGTAAAAAAATAAAGTTTTTTTATGATAGAATATAGTATTGTCATCAGTATGACATAAGCATACCAGTCGGGGTGCCGATTTTTAAAAGGGCGGCTCCACCTGACAGCGTCAGGACCGCCGCTTCATTCTCAAAGAAGCTGCCGGGACATCCAACGAAACGTTCCCGACGGACGCGTTCGGAGCCCGGCGTTACCCCCCCCCCCCCCCTCTTCGGGGGCACGACAGAGCAAATTTAAGCAAATTAAAGCATAACCTTCCGTTTATAAATCTGCATCTGAGGCTACCAACGTCTGGTTACGGAGTGGGATTACAGGGCCAAGGGGCCGTCCATAAATGACGTCACGCACCTGGGGGGGGGGGGGGTTCAGACATTTGTGACGATGTGTGATGAGGGGGGGGAGTTGGGAAATGTGACATCGCATCAAAATGCGCAACTTTAAATAAATATAGACAACGCATTCTACTTAATTAAATAGACGTTTTAATACATGTTTCCTCCTACAACATCAGAGTGCAGCGGCACATTAAATACGCACTACAATGACAATAGTTTAAAGCGATTTTAAGCATGTTTTCTTTTTGGGGGTGGGGGGGGGCAGAGCTTGTGACGTCATTTATGGACGGCCCCCAAGAGCACGGATTGAGTGGGCATTTATTCCCTTATGTTTAAACTTCTACCATCTCTCTGATTGATATCCGCAAAGCAATTACGCCGCCGGATTTTAAAATGTACAGCATAATTATGGATATGATCCGCGCCGTGAATTCTTGCATTTGAAACGGATATGAAGTCCACGGGATGGTTCGTTGCACTAGTTGTGTGTCTGTGGGCTGTCCAGAGTTAACATTCCGGTTTGTGCAGCCTGGTTAACAGCTGAGACTAATAGTGACAGTTTTCAAAATTTGAGATGAACGTTATTTTACGGTTCACAAAAGTATCGAGGGTAGGGGAAATGGCAATGCCTGAGCAGCCAATTGGTTGCCGCGTTCCTTATCGTACATTCTCTATGCACTTCTACGTGACGGTCTCTTGCCAATGTAACTGCGCGCCTCTACGCATGCGTGTACAGCCACGTGTCGATCCACTGCTAGATTGAAGGTCTCCCCACGCAGTGAGGGCTGTGGGTGTTATTTGACCATACTTCACCATGCTGGTTAATGTGGGTTGGTGAAAGCATGTAGATGTGGGAGCACAGAGGTACAGCACAACAATGAATCACTGTCCTCTGCATGGGGTAATCCACCTTGCTTTAGATGTTGCTTTATTTATTAATATCTCCAAGACTTTCCAAATTGTAAAACATTGCCAAACCCACAATTTCTCGTTGAGGGCCGTCCGGTGCGTTGTCTCTTTCTCGCGTGTTTACTGAGACGCGTCTCGTAGCGAGCTCCACGGTCGCTGTTGCAGAACGAGCGCCACGAGCGCATGAACGGGGGCGCCCGTAGTCGGCCCATCAGGGCTGCACAGCGCGAAGACACAATTGCTCAACACCACTCACTTCACGTGCGTCGTAGTTTTGGTGATAATGAAAATCCAAAACAAATTTCGAACAATATCACCAATTTGTGATAAGTTTATTGTCTTTCCCCCACATCGCCGATTAGCACGGTTGGCTACGTAGGGTGCGAAAGAAGTTAAACATACAGTACATACATTCACGGCCATATATTTACGTATTCTTTTGTTTCCCAAACGTCTTTGGCGTTGTAAAGATCGTGAGATAGTGTTGGTAGAAGCTGGAGCAGTCTTTATCCCCAGGGCCCCTGACGCTTTTGCCACCGTTGTGCCTGCCACTCGTCCGCTCTCCAACCCATGCCTGCGTTGCCCCTCTCCACCAATGAAGCGATTCTCGGCACGGCACGTGAATCGTGCGCTTCCTGTAGTTTCTGCTGCGACGGTGGTTTTGTTTTAGTTAAAAACTATCGATTTTATCAGCGGCCAATATTCATTATCGGCGTTGGCAGTGCCGTGCGCGGACAAAGCTATGAACCAAAATTAAACCACGGACCACCGCACGTTTCCGAACCTAACCCTCAGCCGTTTGACAAAGCGATTTTAAGCTGGAACTGAGATTAGCTTTGCGCTTTGGCGAACCTCTCGAGTGCCGAATAAAACTTTGAAATCCCTTTGGCGAGAAGCCACACGTTAACATACATGCCTGGGCATTGCCTGTGACGTAATGGCATTATTATTGAATTTATATTTGGATTTTAAAAGCTGTTTATAAGATTATAGGAACATAGGGTACACTAATATAGGGTTATTACAGATCGGCTTTCCACCCTGTAATTTAGTGGTAGTGCCTTACGCCAATAATCCTACACCACGCCAGCTAGGCAGCGTTCTGGAAAATATCGAGTGAGAAATGAAGCACCAGCAGTGGATATGTAATGATGTCCTGGCTCTGAAATTGAGTGGATGCCGGTTCATTACCTGAAAGCTTGTGTGCAAATCCGCAGAAGCCCAGTGTGAGTAGAGGCAGCCAGACTGGAAAAGAAACACAAACACACGCGGAAACATAGTCCAGCTTAGCAAGAGGTCATCACAGCCACAGAAGTCGATTTACAAATACATTTGGCGACACTCAGTTGGCAGTGGTGCAAAAGCACAAAAAAACACAATGTGGTCTTAAAAAGACAAAGTATATAATAGGTAACGTTTCAGGCAATGGCCCTTTTTCACAGCACATAGAGAGCCTGGACTCCACCTCTCTGACCTATGTGATGTGAATAAAAACCATTGCATGAAACGTTACCTATTATATACTTTGTCTTTTTAAGGCAACACATAAGGTTACGTATTGGCGGACGTGTTGAGATTATTCAGCCAGCTCTATTTGGAATGCAGCGAGGCTTTTAGATAAAAAAAAAACCCAAGTATTACGTAAGGATAATGCCAGTTGGAGTAGACTTGTATGCGCGTTATGAACGAGGGCGGCTGTGGGAATTGCCTATTTATCGTGCATGCAAAGCCACACTTATCACATCAGACCCCTGTGAGAGCATCGCCACGCCTTCCGTCAGGGCACTTACTCTTCAACCGTTTCTCCAATATAAATTTATAAATATACGTCCATCGCACATATAAAACATTTTAATTAAAGTTTAAAAGTGAGGACATTTTTCATTTCAAATCAACACGTCAGCGAGGAGCACCTCGGGATCGGGCCGGCGTGACAGCTCCCCACGCCGTGACCGTGCATAATTTAACAGCCTTGGGCGTTTTCCGTCTCTCGTTTCCCTGGCCCTTCGGCTCACCGATCGATGATTGGCTCACTTTTACGTGAAGTTTTCTCCCCCCACTCCACGGAGAAGTCCGCGCGAGTGCCAGAGATCCTATTTGCATGCACGGCATCAGCTTCACCACGCCTGGCTGAGTGGTTGCCGGAGTCAAAGAAAAATACTAAAATCTTTTATTTATCCAGGTTAGGCTCACTGAGCTGTATAGCTCTTTTTCAGAAGCAGTATAGCCACAAATGATCGCTCAATGAAGTCGCTTCTCACGTGGAAATTTAGAGCAGCCATATACTCAACATACACAATTAAATGTATGTTGATTCTGAATGCGGAGGGGAAAACTGGAGGATCCGGAAAAAAAATCCACGCGACCATGAGGAGAGAGAGAGAACATGCAAACTCCAAATATACAGCAGACGTCATGGTCGGGATCATAACCACGACCTCCTGTACACTTGGCGAGGTAGTTAACATCTAGCCACCTGGTGCCCAGGTCAAATCCCGGTTGTGGGGTCGACTTGCCGGCCAATCAGTCCATCATCATCTATCCGGGGTCAATACAATAAGTTTCTGCTTTGTGAGAAGTTACTAGTGGTTGTTACTGTGGGTAAACTGGCCCGTGCCATGGGAATGTGGAATTACATGCCAGGTTTGAGACATGAAAACAACAAAAGAAGGGCTCAGAAACGAAAGGAGGCCCATTGGGTCCATCCAACTCACTCGGCTGCATGTCGCTGACCGAGTATTGGAGCTCACCGAGTTCGCACTTCCGATTAGCACGGTTGGCTACGTATGGTGCTAAAGAAGTTTAACATACGTACGTGTGGCAGCCACTACCACACTCGCACCACCGCCCCCTGCGCATTAAACATAATTACTGCCTCCTCCCGGCCTCAGTCGTGAACTTATCCCACACGAGGCTTCCATACACCTGTATTAAATCCCCATGGATTTTTTTTCTCAGTTTAAGGCTAAAGAGATACAGAATCTTGAACCAATCAGCGACTCTGTCTTTTGAGTTCTTAAATCGCTCAAGTTGCTCCTTGTTGGAACTGCCTCCAGGCAAGCAGCAATGTCTGTGTTGTACCGCGGTGCCCGCAACTGAATGAAAAGCTCTGTGTGAAGTCGTAAGAGCGCATTGCGCAGCCTCAGCGTTACATCCCTGGATTTACATTGGGCACTTTTCCCTCCGTACCCCAAGTAATTTACTGCATTTCTTTATTGCGTCTCTGGTTTTGTCTGGTCGACGAAAATGCTGAGTCAACTCACTCCTAGATCCCTACCTTGCGTCCTGTTTCCACGAATTCCCATTCCTCCAGTTTCACATAAAATTTACGTTGTCTTTTGAGAAAAGTTCAGTGGGCTTGGGCAGGACGCAGCGTCACTAGAAGGGAAGAATGATGGGCCAGTGGTCGAGATTAATGATGGACTGGCAGCACAAAGCGGGAGCATGCCTGAGAGGGGAAGTACTTTGTAAAGATGGCCCAATGAAATTAGATTGTGTGCAGGAGCTGCATGCATTCTTGCATCGCAAAACCGTGAGAGATGGCGACTGCTTGGGGAGGTTTCACCCAGCAGTGGATAGATCATGGCTGCTGGTGATCATGAAAATAATAATAATGGACATTTATACAGTACAGTACTATTTCCAAATGCTAATTTTCGCGGAACCCACTTTCATAAAATATATAAACAGTAACAAAATTGTATGCTAAGGTTTTCTGTTACTTGATCATCTTCACGATGATTACAATACTCTTTCCCTCCCTGCCTCCACACACCAATTATAGACGAACCGACAGTCAGAGATAATGCAAAAATTGCTTTCAACCTTAGTTGGAAATATTACAAAATTCTAAAAAATATATGTATATATACCTTCACCACTGGTATATTTAGGAGCTGTAATTCATCCATAAGCCATCAGAAACAACATCGGAGACGTGTAATATCCTTGAGCCCTCATCCCCTGCCATTCCCCTCTCTCCCCCTATCTCTCAGACTTGTCCTTAGCGTGCTGGTTTATTCTTCTCGTGCCCCTCCCTGTCTCCCCTCCCCATATACAGTGAGGGAAAAAAAGTATTTGATCCCCTGCTAATTTGTACGTTTGCCCACATTATGCTTTGGGGGTGTTTTTCTGCTAAGGGGACAGGACAACTTCACCGCATCAAAGGGACGATGGACGGGGCCATGTACCGTCAAATCTTGGGTGAGAACCTCCTTCCCTCAGCCAGGGCATTGAAAATGGTTCGTGGATGGGTAATGAGTGGCTCAAGAAGAAGCACATTAAGGTCCTGGAGTGGCCTAGCCAGTCTCCAGACCTTAATCCCATAGAAAATCTATGGAGGGAGCTGAAGGTTCGAGTTGCCAAACGTTAGCCTCGAAACCTCCATGACTTGGAGAAGATCTGCAAAGAGGAGTGGGACAAAATCCCTACTGAGATGTGTGCAAACCTGGTGGCCAACTACAAGAAACGTCTGACCTCTGTGACAACAAGGGTGTTGCCACCAAGTACTAAGTCATGTTTTGCAGAGGGGGCAAATACTTATTTCCCTCATTAAAATGCAAATCAATTTATAACATTTTTGACATCCGTTTTTCTGGATTTTGTTGTTGTTATTCTGTCTCTCACTGTTCAAATAAACCTACCATTATAATTATAGACTGATCATTTCTTTGTCAGTGGGCAAGCGTACAAAATCAGCAGGGGATAAATACTTTTTTCCCTCACTGTATATCTTCATATCCCCCTTTGTCCGTCGTGCCGAAATAAAATGTCTACGCTTTTGTTCTGTACCGTGTTCTTGGAACTTTTCAATATGGTATGCTGGGCTCGCATGTTGTAATTATAGAAATATCCTTGAGCACTCAGACTTGTCGAGAAAAAAACACGAAGGCATATTTTAGAGATTCCTAAGCTTTAGTGTGCACACTCTGCACAGCTCAAACCGAGGCATGAACCTTGCAGAGAGTTACAAGCAACGCGCGATAAACGTTTCGAGGCGGGCTGCATGAGCCGCCCCGTTAACGCCACACTTTCTTGCCAGTCGTCCAAAATAAACACGCGCTCGAGCATTGGATTATATTATTGATGATTGCGATGACGTGGGCGGCCAAGAGCCAGCGGGGAAGTAATTTCTCCCCGAGTCTTGGATGAGCAGAGAGCGCATGCTCTTTGAACGCTGCTCGGTTCTGCTTTTTTGGCCTCCAGTGATGTAGAGAAATAAAAACAGCACATCTTCTTGGTTCTTTCGGTAAAGTCACGTAGAAGGAAAAAATTAATTCTCACGACGTTTCTTATTATTTTATTATTTCCCTTCTACGTGACTTTACCAAAAGAACCAAGAATATGGATCCCTGCAGTCACGAAAGCTTTAAATCGAAATTTAAACAGCACATCGTCGTCCCATAAAGCTCTCGAGACTAGTTATACGGATCTTAAAAACCTATGTGTGTTCGTTGTTTTTCCAATTAAAATCAAAGCTGTGTATATGTTTTTAAAGTTATTTAAAATGATCATCGTTGGCCATGGTCTATCCACCGTTGGATGAAGGGCTCTCAACGCTGTCGCCCTCCCGCGCAGTCCTGCAAAACCACCACCATCTGACTTCCACGCGTGAGCTTATTTTATTGCTCCGACTCTATTCTCTCCTCTGTGGCCGTTAACCCTTCTCCGAGATGTTTCCCGCACAAGCCTGCACTGCCCAAAAAGAACCAGACACACCACAGCTCTTTCGCCATCTGCATGGCACCGCGGTTGCGAATAAAACGATCTAAGCTCGCGTTCTTTACACACAAAGTGCTTACCACAAGTGAACCACAATACCTCGCTGATCTCGTCAAGGAGCAAAAATCATCACGCAAACTCCAGTCATCCTCGCAGCGGCTTTTGGCTGGCCATCGAGCAAAGACGGTACTACATCGCGCGCTTTCAGATGCGCTTCTGCGGCCGTATGTAACACTCTTCCTTCCGATATTAAGAAGCCACTGGAGCTATGCACTTTTGAATCTATATTTAAAACTCTCTTCTTTAGAACTGCTTTTGTGTTTACCTTGTTGTCCTTCCCTCGCACCTCTGATTAGCACGGTTGGCTAGGTACGGTGCGAAATAAGTTAAACATGCATAGATACATACAAAACGTCTCCTTTTTCTTGGCAGCTCCCTGCCATTACCCATGCTCTATGCATCACAGGCAGCTGCGAACGCCCGTCTTAAAATTTCCTTTCCAAAACTCGACAGATAGACGTGGC